CCCCCCTAAACAATCAGATGCCGTCTCGTCTGTCTTTCTGGGTTCTTCACTCCTCAGAAACACTAGATGCTTGCTGTTCCACCCCCACCCCCAAGAGTAAATCGTTTAGTGGTTAATTTTTTATTCCATGTTTACTGCTTTTTTGAGTGTGTCATACTATTTACAGAAAGGGAGGAAGGGGTCAATCAAAGGTCTTCCATACAAACCGAACGGGAGGGAAGTCAGGCGACGGTGATGGTGCGATTCGATTACACGCCCGATACGGTAATTCGGTGACCTTCATCACCCGGTCATCTATGCCCAAGCGAGGCAAACAAATCCGAACCCAGTAGAATGATGAAACCACGATCTCCTCTTCTCTGAGTCGCATTCAGTATTCACACATGATTGGATCTGCCAACAGACTGACTTAGCTAGAACGCTCGAAGCGTGGAGATCTTCAATATAGATGTATGCTGTCTTCCAAAAAACGTATAGAAGACTCCACTTCCATGATAAATCTACGTTTTCCGAATTTAATCTCATCTTCACGTCTCACTCTCTGTGTCAAGCGATTTTGCATCTAGCTATCGCGGTGTTGTGAGGCTCGAAATCGCGCCGTGTCCAGGCTGAGTGCTCAACAGATATCGTACTTATCATCAGCAACCTCAACGCTCAAGTGGAACCCCTAAACAAATCCAGAGAAAATCTGAGTGACTAATATGCAATTTCCACCCAACTGAAAGGTAAATGGAGATTGTCCGATTTACTTTTGCACAAACCACATTGTTCACAACACATATAGTGAAAGTGCTCTTACTCGTAACCTAGATACAAGTCGGATGGAGTACTGGATCGCTGATTGTAAACGTGCACCAATTTATAAACTCTGAAAGTTGCAGTATCTATCCAATCAATTCAAACGCATTCAAGTCCACAGCCGGTAGTCACAACAATCAAGCCATTCCGGTTACATTCCGATGAGTGCGTAAAAACCAACAAAAAAGGCATCCTTTTATCTAATTGTGAACAAAAGACCGGACAGACTGTGGAAAACAGTTTACAGAAACAGAAACAGAGGATCTTCATCACGGACGCCACGAACACGACAGTTACGACAGAACGGAACCGGGACAAAGCGAGGTGAGATTCATTCATTAAAGACATCCCTTTTTCGCGTTTAATTAATAATTAATTACGCTCATTATTATTCACGCGTCTATCAACTAAGGATAGATCAGGTTTCCGTTCGAAACATCTTGACGTAGATCCGAATTTGACTAAGGAAATGGAAATGGTTGTGGACCTGTATTGTATTGTTTAATGCAAGGATGATACAGACATCTCAAAACGACGTGAGAAACGGGTTTTGTTAAAAACGTGCAACACAATTTTTCGGTTTTTCCACAAAAGTTGAACGCCGGGTCCACAATGCCCCCACCCCCGCTTACCAATTTCCTCTTCTTAGACACGGTCTATAACTTTCTACCGCATATTTTATACTAAGAGTACCAATATCAAGCTCATCTAAGATAGACACACTAAGCAAAAAACAAACAGTGTATACTGGAAAGTATTCTGATACAACGTACGGAACACATTGCAAACAAAAACGGATCGATGTGATCTCCCGTTTACGAGCACAGACACAAGTTCTTCCGGCATTGAGTCTATGCTGGATTATTAATATTGAGATTCACGTTCCCTTTGAATATGGTACACACACAGGTTCACTAGAAACCCGTCGGACATTTCGCGGTCGATAAATTAACCCGTCACAGAATGGCGAAAACGCACAGTGCCTATTATGATTATGACTTTGTGAGCTCCCTATAGACAGAATCAATCGGGCTGTGTCCGGTGAGAAAAACAGTCAGTCAGTTACGACCGTTGAATTCAACCGTGCGATCAGCAAGTGTAGGCCTTGTGACATGCAGAATATATTTATTTACAAACAGGTACGTTGTATAATGTGCACCATAGAGGAACTGCACAATTCTCTATTGCGGTATCCAGTCAGTCCCCCTTAGGCTTTAAGTTCAGCAAGTTTGAGATGCACAGTTTTACATGACGTATCTGCCTAGGACATTTAGTGACACTGAACGCGAGCAGACTAACCAACTGATCAGGATGGAGGATGCTAGGCGGTAAGTGTACAAACTCGACCTTAGAAGTTCTTCCTGGTCTGGAAAGTTTAACAGCAAATATCAAAGAAGTGAACTTTCGTCCGATAAGCACAAACCACGTGTAAGACACGGCATAAAGCATTATCCGACACAATATTCAATTGCCCAGAAATACCTTTGTGTATAAGATTGTAAAAACCGCTTGTGTTTTTATCCGAAATCTTAACTGTGTACGGGGGCTCGATCAGCATTCCCTCGAAATGGCTGTAATGAAGACCCCACAGAGACTTGGCCACTACGGAAACAGGATGAAAATAGATTGTCGGTGTTCGAACACCGCTGTCTATGTAACATTGCATGAGTCTGGTGGGGTAACCGGACGAGCAATGCGTGGAGTTTTAGGCAATCGTGATCGTCCACTGGAGCATGGGATCCACCTACATAGATTACGCTGGTTGGGGCATGTTTTACGCATGTCACCAAATAGTTTGCCACGGCGAGCGATGTTTGCCGAGGCAGTTAGCGGTTGGAAGAAAGCCAAGGGTGGTCAAACTAAGACCTGGCATGAGGGTATGAAAACCCTAACCAGAAGACCTGGTCACATAGGTCCCGTTAGGCTCGCTGGTTGGGGACCTCGGGATGATCGTAACCGACGGTTAAAACACTGAGTGATATGGCTGGGAATCGCAAACGGTGGCGCACGTGCATCCACTGATTATTCTCCTAGCACCACTCTGTATGAATTCTCCATTATCCGCCTCAATTTGTTTTTAAAATTCCAATCTTCGCTTTGCAAACTCAATCCATGATTCCGTAAATTCGCCACAGTCGCATAATTTTTACTTTTGTGGTTAAAGCAGGTATCTCTACAGAAAAGCCGATTAATGAAACACCAGCTTCCTTCAGTTCATACAACTATTAACCCTGCGGTGCAGCGCAGTGGTTATATTTGTTTTGTGACTACCGGATTCGGATAAAGAAGCGACTGGAGTATTGGAATGTTGGAAGCAACAACAGTGTAAAAATACGTAATGACAAAATTGCCAAGAAGTTGAATG